CATGTATGTGCGACGCCTTTGCGTGTCTTGGCCGCCGTGGTCATGACACTTGCCCCCAACGCCATCATCAGCACTGACATCATCGGATCAACCCCACCGTCACCAACATACCACAGTGATCTCCTTGCCTCGGTTAGGGTAGAAGAAGGGCGACGAGCGAATCGACGATACCCGCCATGCGTGCAATCATCGCTGCAACCGTTTTGCATAGGTTGGCTTCGAGAGGATGTTTCGAGCAGGAGCCAATGTGCCTGACCTGTAAGCAGACTGCATGGATGTCTTGAGTTGTCCTTGCTGCTGTCGGGTTGCCTTGCGCTGGGGTCCTCGGTTCGGTGGTCTCAGAGTCGTGAGCCTCGGCCGTGCATTCCCTTTGGCTCCTTGATTTTGCCTGTGAGTGAATTGCGCGCCTGAGGGGCCCACGCGGCCTCAGGAGAGACCCCCAGTTAGGGTCCCAACATTTTTTTAGAGAAAATGGCTGCCTTCAGAAGGCGTTGATGGTGCCCGTGTCCGTAGCCTTTTTGAGTCAAGCTACAGGCAGTGACAGCTGCTGTGTCATATCTCTGATTATATCCAGAGTGAGTGCATGTTCATATTCATCCGTGTGTTCATATTTGGCGTGTTTGCCGACGCCGTGGTGGCAAGCATGGGCGGCAAGAAGTCTGGTGCTGCTGCTTCTAAGCGGGTTGCTGTTGCTGGCGCGGAGTCTTCTGGTCAGGGCAGTCGCGGTGGCGGACATGAGGAGCCCTCAAAGCGAGCATGCGTGACCCAGGGTGACAGGTGCCAGTGCGCATTGTGCAAGCAGAAGGCAAAGGACAGCAGGTATGACAAACTTCAGTTTCGCCGCGTGTGCGGTTGCTCACCTTCTAAAACAAACAGTGTTTCTGGCATCCGCGGGCCATTTTGGGTGCGTTTGGGGAAGCATCCTGAAAGCACCCTCGGAAATTTTAGGATGAGCCAGGATCGTTTGTTCATGAACCTTGGCAGGTTGGGTGTTGATCGAACGAGGTCATAATTCGGCCCCGTGGCTGTAACCGACATCGGTGTATATATTTGCCAGAATGCCTTCCATAGGACAATATCCCTTGGGCTCTCTACAAGAGTGTGCAGAAGGCGTCTGGCATCGAGAACGTCGCCATGTCTGACAAGTGCGAGGAGTGCTTCACCATCCATAAAAAGTTCTTTGGGCCCCTCTCCTGGGATATGCTCGTCAGCATGCATGACAAGGACGAGGACGATTTCAAGGTCAAGGTCCAGAACGCGAGGGAATCTTACCGAGGTACCTCTGATGGACCTGATGTTAAGGATGAGGTAGGGGTGACAATGTCTACAAAAATCGTGATCGGCAAGAAATACATGATCTTGGACGATTCCGAGATGAGAAAGGCTACTGATAAAAAGCGGCTCACTAAAGAGATGGTGAAAAACATTCCTAGTGTGACTCTCCCTGTGGACGGGGGCACGCAAATGGCAGATTTCTTTTTCTTCTCGGACGCCAGCGAGCCTTACCGCTTTGCTAAGATCGTGCACGAGAAAAGCTTCAACAACACGAGGTGCGTCATGCCAGCTCAGGACTGCGTCTGGGATGGACAGGCGAAGTTGTTCACGCAGCACGTCATCAACGAAACCATGATGGAGGCTAGCGTCCAGGAGGTGCTGAGCAAGGACAAGCTGAACAACTTGAAGACGCTCGACGAGTACTTGGCTCAAGTTGCAGGTGACGGACAGCCGACTGCAGAGCCGAACCAGGCGGCCGCGTCCAGCGAGTTGACGGATGGGCCTGCCACCGCCCCGCACGAACATCTCTCGGGGCCAGCTGCAGCCTCGATGGCACCGCCAACCGTTCCAGTGTCGCCTGCAGCAGCAGGGAAGTCGCCCGCATCTTCGAGACATTCGCCGAGGGGCCTGACCGACGATAGCCCTGAGGGTGGTGCTGGCATCGAGGTGGAGGACTCTGTCTCGAACGTTGGTACCGAGCTATCGGCGGGGACAGCTGCTGGGTCAGGTGCCGACGGCAAGCGAAACGCAATGCAAGTCCAATGGGCACCATCCTCATGCCTTCAGCCTCTTCAAAATCAGCGTGTCCCTCTTCCTCCCCCGCCCCGTCCGCCCGCGCCCCATTGTGCTGGGGCATGGGCGGGGGGGGGAGAGGAAGATGAGGGGGGGGGGGAAAGCGTGAGATGATGATGCCCTCTGGGTTTGCAGTAGAGCGTTTCCTCAGTGAGGCAGCGGCGTGAGCCCTCTGGAGTATTGGAAGTCGAAGATCCCTATCAATGCAGTCCTGAGTGGTACTACTGATGGCCGTACGATTTCAGCAGCGGCGAAGGCGGCGGACAGGTTATGCAGGAACCCCGACCATTCGCAGATGTCCGAGGGCCGTATCCTGAAGAACTTCTTGAACGTTGTGCAGCTCGCGAAGAGCATGACCCCAGACAAGATCCTGACGCACGAAAGGGACGAGCTTTTGAGGACCATCGACCAGCTGGTGGCTCAGCAGAACATTACATGGACTCTGGCTGCGAAGGAGAAGCTGTTGGCGTCGTACCTGAAAGTGCTGGAGGATCGCAAGCAGGTCGAGACATTGCTCGATGTGGTTTCGCCGTGGGCTTCAGTCCCTGAGGGCCAGGACGAACAAACGCTGCCAGATATTCCGCCGTTCGACCCGAAGTACCCCAAGCTGGTTTCCATGGAGCTGGACATGCCTGGTAAGTGCGCCCTCTTCCAGCACGTGTTCATCGAGAAAGTCTTGCAGCCTTTGATCCAGAAGGGCTTCGACAGCACCCAGGAGCTCATGGACGTCGTCGAGAAGGCCATCACGAAGTTCATCCTGGTCGACCTCATCGAGTTGGACGCCTTCGCAGCTGCCACGCTCTCCGAGTGCCAGGACGCGTGGATGGCGCTGAGGGTGATCGGCGGCGTGGACATTCAGCTCCACAATAAGGAGCCACCGCGGACGATCAGGTTTTGGTCCAAGATTGGAGGGTGGAGGGTTGTAGAATAAGGAGGGGTGGGGAGGGAAGCTGAAGGAGGGAGAAGGAGGAGGGATGCTGAGTGAGAAGGAAGGGGTAGGGTAGGGAGCCAGGGAGAAGGAGAGAGGACGACGGATGAGGATGAGGGCGGAGGAGGAAATATGAGGAGGAGCAAGCAGGATGCCAAGAGCGAGGTCGAAATGTGAGAGGCGTGTGACCGCCCTGGGGTTAACCTGGGCCGTCTTGGACGTCATGGCCTCGTGCTTTGACTTACCGTTGGTTGCCTTGGGTCGTCTTTGGTTGGCTTGGTCCGTCACTGGGTTTCCCCGAGCCGTCTTAGACTAAAATGAGTTGTGTTTTGGGCCGAAGTTTTGAATGGAGTCCCGTCTTCGGGGCTATTTCAGACATCCCGTCCCCCTCACTGGTCGCGCCCAGACGTGGAAGCTGACAATCCAACGAGTAACAGATGTTGGGTGTATTCGTTTGATATGCTCTTGAAGCATGGGCAAGTCGCACCACCTGGTAAGTGCGAACAGACTTGGAAGTCAATGGGTACTTCACTCACGCGCTGCTGTAGGTACGTTCAAACTCCCCGCCTGCTGTGCGACCTCGTCGCCACGCTGGCTTTGCCTCGGCGAGGTGCGCGGTTCAGGGATGGGGTCTGAGGGGGTAGTGGCGTGTCGGGTCCGCGTGGAGGAGACTTAAGGCGCCCTAAGGTGAGGTTTCGTTGCCTCGGCTTGAAAGTGAGGCTGACGTTGTGCGCCAAGTCCCAATACGAACCCATTGGTTTCGAGTTGGTTGCTTCGGGCCCCAGTAAGGCCAGTTGGGCACACTTGCCTGCGCACCAGGCAGGCACGGCGTCGATTATTTAGTGCCAATGCCGTTTGCACATGTACCTCTCGTGGTAACAGCCAGGGTTTGCATCCAACTGCAGCGGGGGCTGCATGTCAGTGATCACCGATGCTCTTGCAACCCCGACCCCTTCAGTAGTTTTTAGTTCAGCGGCGCCTACTTGGCCCCAGCGGGCCCACAGGGCTCCAAGGGGCCGCGCGGGGCTCTAGAGGCGCACCTGGCCCCATGAGAAAAGCAGTTGTTATATACTTTCGTCTGGTCTCTTGAGCTCTGTTGGGGCCTCGTGAACTCGGTGCGTCTAGAATTGGATTCTCCATCGAGGCCCCGCGGGGCACCCGTGCGATTCCTTGTGGCGGCACTGGGATGTCCAGGAGCTTCCATCGGGGACCAACCGAACCCGTTGGCTCGCATTCTCATCCGCAGGGCCCCCTTGGTCTACAACGTTTTCCCCCCAGCCCCACTGTAGCCCACTTGCGCCCAATGGCTTTTCTCGGGGTCCGCCTGTCCCCCCCTGCCTCCATCAGCTCTTACAGGGGCACATTGGGCTCGACATTGCCTCCCTTAGGCGTCACTAAGGTTGCCTTGGGTTGCATTGTGCTCCAATAGGTTTGGGTGGACCTGGTAGATGCTCTATTCACAGTGGGCGCTTCCAGGCACGATCAGGTTCAAGCCAGCCCCATTGGGGGCTATGTGGCTCCAATCTGCCACCCAGTGCGTTCGTGTCTCCCCAATGAACCAACGGTCTTTGCGGTCGGGGCGTTTCTAGTTCCATAGGGCTGCCTCGCGCTAGCAGTGCAGCTGCGGTTTCGGCGCAATTATGGAATCAGCTGTGCAATCGTTCCGTGGGCAACCCCTTGGGACCCGCGCGGCAAATGGAGCGAATTCAACGTGAAGTTGTGTCCCCGAGTTTGTTAGAATCGTGCCCCGATTGCTTCTTGCCAGCATGGGCGGGATGGCAACCTTGAAGGTTGGCTTTGGGCCCCATCCGTTTTTCGGTCGGGCACATCGGCTCGTTGAATTCCTGCCACGGTAGGGCATTGCTTTTGCATTTGGGAGTTGCGCGGGTATGATCCGCCCCGTCTTTGGGTGGAGGTGTGGTGTTGTGGTAAGTCGGTGGGGGGGGCGCGGTGATGGGACCCCTCGTAAAGTTAACCCCTCGAGGATTACGTTCAGAAGCTCAAGGCGGCCATCGGGAAGACGCACAAGTCTCCTCTTACACTCATCGCGTCCGCAGTGGACGCCAGCACGTACTGGACAGGTAGGCTGAACGAGTACATCGAGAAGTTACCAGCGATGCTGCAGCACAGGAATGCCATCCAACATGCTGAAGGCGTTATCAGGGCGTACAATCCGTCAGAGTGTGATTTGGACAAGCTCATGGGTACACTGGAAAGTCTGGTTGGCGTGGAAGAGGCCATCCGCACGGGGGGGATCGACGCGCTGCTGACTAACATCGCCCGTTCGATCAAGGAGACGCGTGTGTATGTCATGAGGTTGCCGCAGGAGGAGATGGAGATTACGTCGAAATGGTCTAGGGTCGTCGGGGAGGCCAGCCTGTTATTCCCTATGGATTTGTGGGTCGATGAGTTCAGGACTGAAGCTGCCAACAAACTTGCCTCGTCCAGCATGTCCGCGAAGGTTTCCTCCTTGGTCTCTGGATGCGCTGGTCTCAAGAACAACATGAGGAACATCACCACGCACGACGCCCGTGTGCCCATCATACAGACAGCCATCGCCAACCTGAAGGACATCGCTGGTACTACTCCGATCCCTGGGGAGTATTTCACGAGCGAGGGTTTGAGCATCATCAACGAGCAATGTGAGGTATGCGCCACCGTTGCCGCCCACCTTGTGAAGACGTCGGTGCCATCTTCCACAGATTCTAGCCTCAAGACGGCCTCGGATTTCGCGGCGGGCGTGGTCTCGATTGCCACCGTTGCGAACTCGAAGACGCTGCAGAAGATGGCGAAAGTCATCCAGGCTGGCTGTGCCCTTCAGCTGAGCTGCTTCTCCTTCTGCGGTGATCATGCAGATGTGGACGCGATGAGCAACGACGAGAAGTCGATGAAGGTGCTGCCCGACATGATGCAGGCGCTCGTGGAGATGCAGGAGTCCCTGGCCGCCCTCGGACAAAGCGAGGCCGAGTTCTACGCGACGATGAGCAAGGTCAGTGCAGATGCGAAGGAGTTTATCGGCCAGGTCACGGCGAAGGGCTCAGAGAAGGCCACGACGAACCTGGTTGCCATCAACGAGCGCATGGCGACGCTCGGCAGGGGGCTTCCTGCTGAGCTGTGCGACGAGCTCGAGGGCGATTGGTACTCGACCTTCACGGGGAAGACGTTCAAGGAGCTGCTCGTGCACGCCGAGGGGACGCTCCTCAAGTGCGACATCAAGGCGACTATTGCGGTGCTCGGCGAGGCGGCTCAGGCACGTAGTGAACTCAATCATTGTGCATGCACGCACTTTGGCATTCAAAGCTCAGTTGACCGATTTCTGTCGGGACCTCGGGGACTAGGGATGGCGGGGGCTAAACGAGGGCTCAGAGCCAAGCCATTTTTTTTAGGAGTGGGTTTGTTTGGGGACGGGTTCTGGTTAAACAGTTTTCGTGCATTGAATGTCCGTTGCTTGAGTTCACTTGCGTCTGGTGTCGCCCGAGAGGCGCTCAAGAAGTACAAGCATGCCCTCGGCCAGGCGGTGCGGCCCGTCGATGACGGGCTGGTGGCGGACACCGCGAAGCGGATGGGGCAGTGTAAGACGGTGAAGGCCTTGGGGTGCCTCTTGAACAAGTTCAGGGGCCAGTGCGGCCTCGAGGAGTTGAGGGCTTTCGTGCAGGCGGAGATTCGGGAGTTCCGCCAGAACAGCGGGCTCAAAGAGAAGGATTGCTTCCCGCCGCTGGTGCTGCAGCGGGTGGTGCTGGCGCTGCAGCTCAAGGCGGAGGAGGCGCTGAGCTGAGTGCTCAGCTTTCACGTGGGGGCCTGGACATATGTCCAGGCCCGATTCAACAGACGTTGAATTGAGAGTGAGAAAATATGTAAAACAAAAAACAAACAACGAGTGCGACTAAACACAGCGGGTCATCACATTCACGCACATGGGTGTACGCAGAACGAACTTAAGCAACACAGCGTCGGCACACATCCACTTATGCACGCATCATCAAGTAAAGCCCTCCGTGTGTTAGGTGCGACCAGAACTATGGCGACATGTGGGCCACGCGGCCAGTAAGAGGCCCACTAGTGTTACTCCTGCCTGCCCCCCCAACACTCCAGAGATCAACCGAGGTTTCTTCTTGGGAGGGTTACGCGCCTACGTGGGCAGCGTGCTTACTGGGGTGCTTAGTTTATGCATACTTTACGTCATCACTGCCAAAGTTACTTTTGACTTACTTTATGGCTATATTAATGTTTCTGGGTTTTGAGGGCTGTGGTAGCCCCCCCTGATCACAAGAGTAGAAGCCTAATTCGCCAGAGGAAGAACCTTCCACTGCTGAGATGCGCCTGCGTCCAAGGGACCAGCGATCTGGTCAGAACGCAGCAAGGTGCACGAAGCCCCACGGTGAGAACTCGTTGGTCGCTGAGAAGTGCACCGGTCAATGCGACCCAGCGCCACCCGCGCGTCTACGTATGGTAGCGCCCGAGGGGCGGGACCGTCGCATACCCAAGACGCGTCCCTCACAGCCACATCGTTCCAGGGGGCACGGCTGAAGGCCATAGAAGCTGGCAGAATCCAGGGAGCGGCGCAGTCTATGGACAGGCGAAAACCGCCGGATCGCCCACAACCGCGCGCCAGGCTGGGCCTAGCAGGTGAAAACAACTACAGTGAGGCCAGGGGCCCCGAGTCCACGCGCAACCGAGATTGCCGCGTGGACGAAATTACTGGCGCGCACACTTGCATCCAAAGGCAGGAAGTGCGCGTGCCAGGGGGGGCGACAGAAAGCCGCAAGCAGGTAAGGGGAGAGGAGCAGGAGGGCGAGGGAGGGGAGGCACGGGGCGATCCAGCGGCGGCGATCGGAGACCAGGCGAGATCGACCCGATCAACCAGGGGACCAGCCCCGACAGCGGGATTGGCAGAGATCCTGGTAGCGTTGGGCGCGCGAGGCAGTCCCGTGGACCACCCGGGCGTCGTCCCCAGGGAAGGACGATTACGACCGATCGTTTCAGTGGAAGAGCGTGCTTCCCTGCGGCCACTGCGACCAGGCTCACCCGTCTCTCGCTCTCTTCCTCCTGGCTGAAGGCCAGTCTCTCCTGAGAGACTTGCTGCGCGGGGGCTGGGCGCGACTCTGGTGTCGGCGCCCGTGCCTCCAGGGAGAAGGGCGTCAGGAGTCCCAGGAGGGTCGAGGTCGCCTCCCCTTGTGGTCACGGCCTCGGCGCCTCTCTCTAAGTCCATTGGAACTGTTTCTGGATCCTGAGCTGAAGGCTCGTCGCTTCTGCGGTTGCCCAGAACGCCCTGGGCCCTCGAGCTGAAGGCGCGTCCAGCGCGGGAGTCTCGAGCGGAAGGCTCGTCACGTCCGCGACGGTCCGACTGGGGGGCGGGTGGCTGGCGAAAGTCTTCGGGATTACGGGCGTGTCCAGGGAGTTGACTGCTCGATGCATCCACCCCGGCGCCGAGGCGTCCGCTTGGGGCGTCCCAGGCTGCTGTGTCGATCAAAGCTGCTGTCTCGCTGGGAGCTCCTCGGGCTGCAGGCCCATTCTCTGCGTGCTCAGCATCGTCAACTCCAGGAACGGCGGCAGGCGAGCGGCGCCTCCCGTCGCCGCTCGTGGCCACCTGCCCAGCGGCACTCTCGACGACCATTGGGGCTGTCTCCGACTCTCGAGCTGAAGGCCCTCTTCTCAAAGGTTGCCGGCTGCGCCTTGGAGCCTCGAGCTGAAGGCTCGTTCTGCTGCATCACAGGTCGCTGCGAGGGCTGAAGGCCCGTCTTCTATGTCCGCTCTGCTGCCTCCCGATGCGCCTTGGGCTCTCGAGCTGAAGGCCCGTTCAGAGCGAGTATCTCGAGCTGAAGGCTCGTCGCTTCCGCGACTGTCCGACTGGGGGGCGGGCGTCTGGCGAAAGTCTTCGGAATTCCAGGAGTGTCCAGGGAGTTGACTGCTCGATGCATCGCCCTCGGCTCCGAGCGGCCCGCTTGGGGCATCCCAGGCTGCGGGGTCGGTCAAGGCTGCTGTCTCTCTGGGAGCTCCTCGGGCTGAAGGCCCATTCTCTGCGTGTGCGATGCTGTCAACTCCAGGAAGGGCGGCAGGCGCGCGGCGACTCCCGACGCCACTCGTGCCCGCCCGCCCGGCAGCACTCCAGAGGGCCACCGGTGCCGTCTCCGAATCTCGAGCTGAAGGCTCGTCGCCTCTGAGGTTGCTGGATGTGCCTTGGACTCTCGAGCTGAAGGCTCGCTCTGCTGCATTACTAGTCGCTCCAAGGGCTGAAGGGCCATTATCTACGTCCATTCTGCTGCATCCCGCTAGTGTCCAGGGAGTTGACTGGTCGCTTCATCGACCACGGCGCTGAGGCGTCCGCTCGGGGCGTCCCAGGCTGCTGGGTCGATCAAAGCTGCTGTCTCGCTGGGAGCTCTCGGGGACGTGGGCGGAATGCGCTCGGTCCGGCTCGTCCTTTCTGAAGCAGAGACGGGGGGGGAAACGGAAGCCAGGGGGGGGGCCAATGGGAAAAGAGGTGGTGGCCGACGGCCCCGGCGACTGGCAATGTGATAGCTTGGGCTCATGCCACACGCCGATAGGAAGGAGGAGCGGCCAGAGTGAAATGAGGTGAAGCAAGGGCGGGCGCGCCCGCAGCTTAGGTGTCGACCTTCCATTGTTTCTGGTCCATCTTGGTTGGGTGCGCGGCGAACAGCGTGGTCCTTCGCCGCCTGGCGCCCCCTGCCCGCGCCGTCACTTTCACCCAGGTGCCGAAGCCGCACCTGCGTCCAGTCAACGCCGAGGTCCAGTGCGTCGTCCATGGCCCGCACGTCACAGTTGTGGCAGCGGAAGGGCGACAGGAAGTTGACGCACGTTTGCTGGTCGTGCCGCCGCGGGTCGAGCGCGCCATTGCAGCTAGGCAAGGCGCGCTGCTGGGCGAACGCGTGCCGGGCGCCTGTGAACCTCGCTCCCAGGGAGGCCTGAAGCCGCTTTATCGTCTCGCCAGGTGTCTCCCCGGGGAGGTCCCACTGGATGTCGCCGATCTTAGTTTTATATAGCTGCTGTCCCGTGTCTGGGTCTAAAGGTTCTGGACAGTGACGCGCGGCGGGACCCCCAACCAGGGGCGGGGTGGTCAGCGGCTGGTCCTCGGCGCGGCGCGCCTGCTGCTGCTTCTGCGGCTGCTGCTGCTGCGTCCGCCGCCTGCCGTCTGCCGTCCACCCGACACGCCAGCGCGGCCGGCGTCGCTGGCCAGGTTTCGGCCCAGGGGCAGCGGGGAGACTGGAGGGTGGCCAGTCACAGAGGCAAGGCAGGGCGTCCCCGCTGCCGCGAAGACGCGCTGGGGGAACGTGCCGGCCGCACTGCCGGCGCTCCTCGGCGCTCGAGCTCGCGCCCTTCCCTGGAAGGGAGGGGCCAGGGCAGGTGGTGTCAGCCAGGGGAGTGAGGCGGTGGGTGGTTGTCTGTTCCTGTTTTTGCCCGTGCTTCCTTTTCTGCGCTGGCGTTACTTCCGCGCCTTCCCCGTGGGCGGCCGGCAGCTCCTGCTCATCGGGCTCTTCCGGCTCCTGCTCCGTATGCTGCTCACGTACGCTGCTCTGCGACTGTTCCGACTGGTTGGGCCCGCCGCCGGAATCGTCTATGGTTTCGCGGGGCGCGGCGGCAATTGGTGCACGGAAGTTTGGCGGGGATTTGCGGGTTGGCGCGGGCCGCACGGTTGGCCGCCAAGTAAAGGCCGAGTCGCCTCCAGCAGCTGAGGCTGAGAGGACTGCTGCACTGTGGTAAGCGGGGGCAGGCCCCTCCCGTTGACGCTCGCCATCAGACCCGCGCCCGCCCTCGCCCGCGAGCGCGCCCCCGTCTGTCGCAGCGTGACTTTCGTCAAGTGCGGGAGTGCTGCGGGTCGCACCTGGCCCAGGCACGTTGCCGGGCGCTGTTTCTTTCGCCAGGACGGGGGTCGCCTTCCTCAGCGTGGTCCGGCCTTCGGGCGTGAGCGGCTGCGGCTCGCTGTCCGTTCGGGCGGATTCGCTGACAGGGGAACGAGGGCGAATGGGCGCGAAGGGGCTTCTCTCGACAAGCTGGCGGATGGCCTCGATGTCCTGCCTCTGCAAGGCGCGTTCGTGGTTACCCGGCAAGGGGTCTTCGAGAGTGCCAGGGGCGGCGGCGGGCGGAGTCCCAGCGGGGCGTTGTTGGGTCTCGCCGCCAACCAGCTGTGTCGACAGCCCCAGGCTTTGCAAGTGGCGGGCTCCGCGTCGACCGTCGGCCACGGCGATGGCCTCGGAGGCGCTGGCTGGAGGGTCGGTGCCGATCGCAAACAGCGAACACGTGCCCGTCTGTGGCCCGCGCGCACACGCGCTCCGGTGTGAACTCCTGACCCTCGATGCTGCGAGGAGGCTCGGGATAACCTCCACCATCCGCTCGGGGAGGCGTCGTGGAACTCTTCTCGGGAGGAGGCTGGTCATCGACCGCGGGCGCCCCCTCAGCAGCAATCCCACCTGTCGCCAAGATACTGTTGCCAGGGGGGGGAGCAATGGGCTACGACTTCGCTGGAAGCTCCTCGGGCTGAAGGCCCGCTTTCTGCTTGTTCGGCCCTGTCAAATCCAGGAGAGGCGGCGGGCGAGGAGCACCTCCCGTCGCCGCTCGTGGCCACATGCCCGTCGGCACTCTCGGCAGCCCTTGGTGCCGTCCCCGATTCTCGAGCTGAAGGCTCGTCACCTCTGGGGTGGCTGGATGCGCCCTGGAGTCTCGAGCTGAAGGCCCGCTCTGCTGTGTCACAGGTCGCTCCAAGGGCTGAAGGCCCATCTTCTATGTCAATTCTGCTACCTCCCGCTGCGTCTTGGACCCTCG